CTACACACATAAAATGGTAGGAGTTGAGGGGGGAAAAAAACCATAGTGTTAGAAATGGCTCAAAATATGAAAGAAGGGAAATAAGCATAAAACAATAAAATAAAAAGTGAAAATTGGTAACAGTTAAAAAAAATGGAGACCAGACCTGTGCTTGACTCTCCACTCCATTACACCAATGTTACACTGATCGAAATCAAGGAGTTAGATTGATGTAAAACTAGTGTTGCCATGTGGGGAATCAGGCCTAAAGAAAGGTTAGGAAAAGAGTGAAAAGGAGCAGAGGAAAAGGGGGGGAAATGAACTGAGTATTTTTTAGGAACTAAAGCAGTAGTTCTCAAACTTTTTTACTGGTGACCCCTTTCACATAAAAAGCAACAGAGGGTCCTGTGGCACCTTTAAGACTAACAGAAGTATTGGGAGCATAAGCTTTCGTGGGTAAGAACCTCACTTCTTCAGATGCAAGGGAGGTTCTTACCCACGAAAGGCTATGCCTTTCATATAGCAAGCCTCTGAGTGCGACACCGCCCCCTCCCCTTTTTTTATATATTTAAGCCCATTATAAATGCTGGATGCAAAGCAGGGTTTGGGATGGAGGCTAACAGCTCCCAACGCCCCATGTAATAACCACATGACCCCTTGAGGGGTCCTGACCCCCAGTTTGAGAACCCCTGAACTAAAGTTTGGCAAGGAGTTGTCTTAAGGGGCAGGGGAAGCAAAATGATTTAATGTGAACACTAGATGGGGCTGGTGAGCTCACAGTCGGTTACAGTCCGATGACAAGCATAGTATGTATACTAATAAAAACCAAGCATTATAATACAGAAGAGTTTATGTTGCTCTGACTCTTGGTACAAGGGGAACCCTATATGGAATCAGTGCTTAAAGCCACAGGATCCAAGCTTGCTGCTGTTGAAAATGCTGTTATTATGTATTATTTGTAATCATAGCACCTACCTAGGAATCCTAGTCATGGACCAGGATCCCATTGTGCAAGGTGCTGTACAAACACAGAACAATAAGACAGTCCTTACTCCAATGAGCTTACTAGGGGTCCTGTATCCTCTCCCTCCCCATAACTATCTGGGCAGGTAGTTCAGAGTGTGAAGAGGGTGCCATGTAGCAGAAAGAGGAGAGAAAGAGGAAAAATCCTTTACCCTGTGCAGTTGGGAGGAGGAAGGGTAGAGGCTCCTCTCATGGAAAGCAACAGTGGGTGTAGTGGATGGAATAAGGCTATCTTCCACCTGAGAACAGCTGAGGGGGAAGCTAGAGGTGTCTGTAAGTAGAGTACATGTTCCACTGCACGTCCTCCCAGCAACTAACAGGGAATAGTCTAATGGGGCAAATACTCATTGGAATGGCATGTTGGTGTCAGTCTGGCCTCCCAGTAAAAGCAGTGGGTTTTTACATGATAAACCATCAACAATGACAACTGTGTGAATTTTCCAGTGGCAGGATCTGTGAGTAGCATAATTTAAGCAACTCACTTCATGTGAAAAATTCATGTATATGGCAGCTTTGCATCATATATCAGAGAGGAGGCAGGGCCATGAGGCATTAATGCCCACTCTGACAGACACCATGTATACCCTTATCAGAAATGACAATGAGTTGCGTGCCTGTGTTTAAATTATTTGGGCAAAAACTTGTTAGAACATACTGAGACAAACTCAGTTATAAACCAAAGCATCTCGGGCCAAATCCAGGCTCCAACCCTGAGGCCTCTCTGGAGTTTGCTCCCATGTAGCACTAATCAGATCCCAAGTAGCCCCCTCAGCAGCAGCCAGGGATCAGCTTGTCTGCCACCAAATCCCTCTTCTGGGGGCAGACACCATGTCTCCCCCTACTGCATTACCATAAAAGATAGTGAGTGATACCACTGAAATGGGGATCATATAAGAACTGCAATAGATGTTCCTGATGGAGTGGTGTTCTCCCCATATGAGTGACAGTTAGAGGGACCATGAAGGAGCTGGGTACTCTGAAGAAACAAGCTAACTCACATCTCTTAAAATGGAACTGTCAGTCAGGGAGACAGGAACATCAAAGCCCAAGATTTCATCTAACTGCAAGATCATTGGGCTGTTCTAAATTGGCGTATGAGTACAGGGCCTCACAGCGGCTTCATCAGGATTAATGAAGTGCGAAAGTGAGCTTCAAGTCTGCTTTCCACATACCCTATAACTTGTGCTGCATGCAAGTTCTCTGACTGGATTTGATTTTCAACTCATGCTTTGTTCTTACAGCTTATTTTTTTAAAAGAATTTTGCATTTATATGTAGAATTATCTTGCAGTGCCATTGTCTCTTTTTTATGATAACTTTTGTGATTCTACTAATAATATTTTAATGATTGCTCTATGCATGTTAATTTAAGTTGTTTTTCAGGTTCTGTTCTATTTGGTTAATGCTTAGGTTGGTTTAGTATTGTATTTCTGTGTGTTAATTATGAAAAATGAAAACAATTGAACAAGAGAAATGATACATTTATTTTGTTTTGCTTTTATGTCAACTGTATTATTCACAACCCCATAGCTATTTTTGGTAAAACAAGCTAGAAGTAAATACTTCTCGGGACTAAGAGCTGCAAAACTGCAGGGATCAATAACAATCACAAGAGGGCCAGTTCCACGATGTGTTCAGTTTGCTCAACTCTTATGCACCATGCAGAAAGTGCTCTGCATTTTGCTGGATGGGGCCTACCATGATCTGGAAAACATTGCAGATGCTCTTTGTTTGCCATGGAAGCAAGTTTTCTAGCCCCAGAATCAGGTTATTCAAAGATAGAAAAAAAAATGCAAGCCACACATCCAGTCAAATTTGCAACACTTAACTTGACAATAAAACTACATTGTGCTAGTTTGGTTATTGGCTGAATTTTTGGGAGCTATCAGAGACTTTGGGAAACATTATATAGGAGTAATGCATATGGAAGATATTAATAAGTAACAAGATTGGTGCTGGTGCCTCCTGGATCTTGTTATTAAACTTACTATCTGGTGTCACAGATAGTTAGCAACTAAGCTGCAATGCTGTTATTAATATTGTTGGATGAATCCTATGAGGATAGAAAATAGCATGTCTCAGAGGTAGTGCATTAAATGTTCGAGAGATGAATGCCAGCTATCCTATTTGTACAAAACCAATTAATAAATCAAAAACTAAAGGGCAGAGAGAAGCTGAAGAGAGAAAGGGAGAGGGGTACATATACATCATAAAATAACTGTGTGACTTGATGGGATTTTAGTGGCAAACTGTCTTGGTAAAAAGCTTGGGGAATATAATACATAAGCTTCTCTTCTCACCAACAGGAACATACAGGCCCAGATCCTCAACAGTATTTAGGCTCCTAACTTCCATTGAAATTATGTGAAAATGAGAGAGGAGATTGGAGATGCACAAGGAAAAAACAGCATTCCTTGAGCAGATCCTCAGCTGGTATAAGTTGTTAATGTGAAGTCAATGGGTCTAGGACAATTTACACTAGCTGAGAAACTGCCCCCATGAGTTTAAGGGGTAGGTGAAGATTGATCTTGGAGAGTTTCAATCACGGTCTATGAATTCAGGAGCCCCTAGCCAATACTGTGGGTCAACAGAGGATAAGCAAAGAGTGCCACATGGAACACAAGGGAAAGCTTTGATGGGCTCTTTGTATTTCCTATCTCTAAGGGGAAAAAAAAAACCCACTACATTTTTTCTGGTTAGTAACTTAGATTTGAAGAAAAATCCATCCAACATATTTCTCTCTCATTAGAACCCCAGGTCTGGATTTCCAATTAGACACAGTAGGCACATGCCTAGGGGCACCAGTGTTCTAGGGACACCATGGGTTAAAAGTTTTATTTTTTTAAAAAAGAGAAAACACAAAGGTCAGCTGTAGGCGGGGGGGGGAGGGGGAGAGCGGAGAAGAGGGGGGGACACAGAAAATGCTGTGCCTAGGGGCACATAAGGTTCAATCCTACCCTGTAGAAACCTCCTCACTCTGATCCAAAATTTCCTACCCTAGGCACTCTCAGAAATATTAGACAAATGCTATTTATTCACTATACATACTGTTTCTATAGAATAAGATACAGCAACATTTTGAAGAATAAAAAACAAACAATTTTGCCAAAAAATATTTTTCTTTGCATTTTTATTTTTGTCTGCTATGGACACCCTTTCTTAAGATCCACTCCGCTTCATCACCCAAGTGAATTTCATTTTTAATTTGCTGGTGGTGGTTCCTAAGGTATTGGGCTCTGTTCAAAGAACTCCTGGGTATGTTTTAGATCTCCGTGTACCCTGAATCGATAAATGCAGGTATATTCTGGGTGGCCCCAATTGTTCAGCACTTTCAGTTTCACATACCTCATGAATTTAGAAAGTTCATTCTGAAAGGAAAGAAATTAAAGCTATTATTTTTTACTTTATGTATCTCTCATTGTTGATCAACAATTAGCATCATGCAGGGGTGACTTGTTCACTATTTTACTCTTTGCTACCATGTGAAATCATTGCTCACAAGATATGAAGATGCTTATACCTCTACTAACTGTACTTTAAGATAGTAATTATAGAGACATAGCCACAAAAAAGGCTAGCTTGCTTCAGTAAGCAAAGTAACTCTATGAAGTTCTCCTCACTTAGAGGTTGACTCTACCACATGTAGAAATCCCATTGATATCTATGTGAGGTCTGTGCACAGAATTTCTACACAGACAAGCATTTAAATAGAACAGATTTATTTTCAGTAATCTGCAACAAAAAGATTTCCTTACAGTTATCAGTAATGTTTAATTTGATGGACCAATATTCTGACAGTATGTGATGTGTTTTCTTTTTATGCAGCCTAAGAGCAGATCACCCAGATTCATTGCAGGTAACACAGCAGATTAGACTCTAGCAATAGCACTGCAGAAAAATGCTTCGTTTTAAAGCCACCATTAACAGAACTACAGACTAAGTTATAATCCTTTCCACCCAGGGCTATTTCTCCAGATCACTTCTACTGGGAATCACTTCCCCTCTTCCTTAATGTACCTTCAATTGGAATGTTTGAAATAAATCTCCTTCACAGTTATATATGAACTCTCCTAAGAAAGTTCCTTGCTCCTCATCTTCCTCCTTTAGGCCCTGCAGAAAAACACAGGCATGGAGAAAACAAAAGACAGTGGAAACCCAATTACAACAGGTTTAAATATGTTTTCTCTTCATGCAGACAGTTAAAACAAAAAGCATAACATGATATCCCAGATGCACAGTGATGAGCTAAATCCATAAAATAAGGGTCCTTGTAGCACAAGTCCGTTCCCAAAGCCAGGTTTGGCCAGGCTGGTGGTGTCACTAGGATATCCAAAAAACCCAAACATGGATGGTATACTCATGAAATATCTAACTCTTGTTCATAAACCAATGATTTATTTCAAATACATCTCTGAAGTTACAAATATCAGGAGAAGCCCGATAGTTGTGGCCTACTGGTTACCACTTCATGTTTTGGTTAAGTTATAGTCACAATAGTCCTGTGAGATAGGTAAGCAAATACTATCCCCATTTATAGCTGGGGAAATTGTGAGAGGTTGAGTGAGTTAATGGCAAAGCCAGGATTAGAAATCAGGAGTTCCTAGTACCCAGCCCTGAGCAGAATCCCCTAAACCACTTTACTTCTCTTGTAGGTAGCATGTAGACACAGCAGGTTGTGCAGGAATGGGAAAGTCTCATTTTTAAGAATAAATGGAACAAGAATTATGCTGATAGTTATATATATGAATTACTCTCTTCCTACAATATGGAGTGAGTTGCAGGTGTGAAGGAAATATACAGAACTTGCTTTTTTCCTATATTTTCTCCCATACTACTCCCCACCCTTCTTAGAAATCTTATATAAAAAGCTAAGAAAGATACTTACATAGACAGCGAAGTCCTTAGGAGCACTGGAGATTTCTCCTGTAGGGGAGATTTTCTTGGGAATGTGCTCCATTGTAACTGCTCTTGGAATTATTTCCATAGCCAGTTTGATGACAGTTTCACCCTGACTTCCTGGGAAAGGCCAGCAGTCCCCAGGGTAATTGTTGGGCTAAAACCAGAACACAAAACAATGATTATTGGTTTAGACAACCATGTGGCTAATGGTATCGCTGATATATTCCACTGAAAATCAGTGGAATCCTTGAAACCAGGGATTCCTTTGGCTCCTTAGAATCTATCTTGAAACACGCCAATGATATTTAAATAATCACAAAGTTCATATGGTTTGAGTCTAATTAAAAATTAAATATAAAATGTATTGTTTAATTCTGAGGATAAACACTAGTTCCATGATGCAGTGTTCAGATGGACTGTTTTGGCTGCACCACTCATAAAAGCTCTAGTACCACGGTCTGCCCTTTCCCCCCGCACTTATGAACCATGTTTATTCCCAAAATCCCAGGTGCCAATTCTTAACTCTGTTGCTTTTATTTCTCTCTTTCCGTCACTTGTGGTGTGGTGCCAACCTGGGTTTGTCTGCAAAAATTCCGTTAAGTACAGCAGCATAGGCTGTCTTTCTATCTCCACCGATCCCTCCCTGAACTTTGGGCAGTATGGGGAGAAGAACAGGGAAAGCAGACATGGGGAATGGTAGTGGGAAAAGGAAGAGAGGAAAGGGTAAAGGAAACTCTCAAGACTTCTTTTATTTTGATTTCTACCTGAAGAATAACTTCTGGAGACTTTACAAAAACCAGCATTGGAAATGATAACCAAAAGAATTTTCCTCTATTATGACGGTAGCTCCTGGTAGTTCTGGACTGAACAATGCTGGCACCTGAAATTAAAATATTCATACAGTAATGAGATAATATCTCACATATAGCACTACTTGGACCTGAAGAAAAGCTCTAAGTAAGCTCAAAAGCTTGTCTCTCTCACCAATAGAAGTTGGACCCACTTTGCCTCTCTAATATAGCAGGTATTCTTAACAATGTGTAATATACAGACGATCTAATGACCAACACCAGGTGTTGGGTGCTTAACTCCTAATGTATAGACAACAAAGCCCCTGTAATACAATTATCATCATTTATATGAGTGACTCTTTAAAACTAGACATGTATCATCGCATGTGACTCTCAGAAAAAAAAATCATTATCAAACAACTCTTTTATGTGACCCAATCAACATACACCAGCCATAATTCTTATAGCTCTCTCTTCCCCACATGCTTACTTCCATATACTCTTCTCAAATGGGCATGAAGAGATGTTGGCACAGCTTTCTCACCAGTAATACCATAAGAATGTCAGCTCTTACCATACTTTGACCTGAACAAGCACAGGTTTTCTAGCAACAGTATTTGTCTCTCTTTCATTTATTCTGTCCTTCTTTATAGTAACAGGCCATGGTGGCTAATTAAAATATTCAAAATTGATAATCGGCAATGGGTAATAAAATTGAAGATAGGAAGTGATGAATAAAAACAATATTAAAATAAGCATTCATTTTTATAAAAAGGCTTGGAACACTGTCAGACTATGTAAATGCATAATCTTCTTATACAGTGACCCTTGTCCTCTCTTCCACTTCCCTCCTATTGTAGGTGACATTCATTTGTACATTGTCTTAAACTAGATTGTAAGCTCTTTGGGGGCAGGGACTGTGTCTTCTTATATGTTTTTTTACAGTGCATAACACCATGAAGACCCAGATTCTAATTGATAATAATAATAATAATAATAATACCTGCTGATTTTAGGGCATAATCAGGCATCTGGACTTGGTCTTCATCCAACTTTTCAAGTACTTTATTCAGCATCCTTTTAACAGTCTGTGAAGGAATATAAAAGATAAGAACTGTGAGAGGGGAAAGGAGTTTGCAAGTAGTACACACACCAGTTCACCTACAATCCGAAGTATGTGTAAAACAATCATGAAGTAACTAACCATTATGTTAGACTAAGGTCTGGTCTACACTTAAAATTGAGGTTGACATAACCATGGCAGTGAGGGGTATAAAAAAATCCCTAACTCCCCCAGTGCAGATGTTGCTAGTGCACTAAAAATAAAGTGTAGTTGTGGTGGCACAAGGAGATGGATGGGTATGTACTTGCGACAGCTAAAATGCTAGGTATGTACTTTGGGTGGCTAGCCCCTCCTGCTGCTCGCCCCACTGTGGCTATACTCTATATTTAACTCACTAGCTTGATCACAGCTAGTACAGGCATGTCTTCTTGCACTGTAAATTACACCCCCAGCTCAAATTGTAGACATACCCTAACAGGCTGGGTGTGGAGCACTGGTATCAAGTGCATGTATTATCTCTTGAATTAGAGACCACTTGTTAGAGGTTCTGAAAGCCACCTGGAATCTCAACCAAAGTGCCAGAAAACTATTGTGTTCATCTTGTTCTATAATTTTGGCAATGGCCACCATTGCAGGAGAGTGTGTGTAGCCCTCCTTCTAGGCAGTTGTTATACTATGTCAGAATAGTGGTAACTACCTATATAATGACCCTTAGTGTCATTATTAAATGACCCCTTATATATGTGCAATTTAATCACTACCTACCAAGTAGTTCATAAAAGTGAGTGATCACCAATTGATTAAGTTCCTATAACTTCCAAGAAATAGAACGAAACTCAAAAGAGCAAAGATGTTTGATACACTCTGTCCTCAAGTACACTGAGCGCATACTGCCAACAAGATTCCCCTTGGGAAACCCTTACCATACTAGTCACTTCTACCTCAAAGACCAGCTGTTGCAGATGAAGAGACAGATTCTCTAGACAATATTACTTGTGTGGAGGATCCCCTGCACAGACCTGTGGGACAAACTGTGGAAGGCTAGAAGGACATATCATAATATCCTCTGCAAGCCCTGTGAAATAGAGTTTCTCTGGGGAGAGGCTGGGGGAAGCCTTGGCAGCAGCCAGGTCTCCCATGGGTAACACTGACAGGGACCAAAGAGAGCCCAAGGGTACCAGAAGTGACTCAGGAGACTGGGTTGCAGGTTCTCCTTATGAATTTTCCACCAGATCATTCTCTTGGTGTAAAGGTGAAAAATCAATACTGTAGCTTAGACTATTGTTCCTTCAAATGTCTAATGTAGTGTACTGTACATCTTGTTCAGGAGGTGATGGCATTCTATTGATGGTTAGGGTGACAGAAATTCCTACCTATGTTATCCCATCCTTCCAGCTACCCCGCAAAAAAAGTCTCCAAAGAGAAATTTTTTATTGTGGGTGAACATTTGTTCCTAGATTCCCAAGACTGTTACACTACATATGTCAGCGAAGTATAAAAAAAGTGTGATAAGGAACTATGGTAGATACAAAGAAAGCTAGAAATCTCTACTTACAAAATCCTGCAATGTCCTTACCCATGTTGTAACACCTTTGATCTCACTCCCTTCCAGGGCTTCACTGATAGCACGCTGGGTGATCTCCTTTGTACCTTGTCTCAGAGCATGAAGCTCTGTCTGTAGCTTATCTACCTGCTCTTTAAGAGATTGGATTTCTTTCAAAACATGGTTTGCCTGCCTAGAAAAAGTGGGAAAGAGTGACAGAAAGCACTATTTTCCTGGCCTGTCTGGCTTGCGGTATGTCATGAGAATGAGAGACAGGCAACAGACACCTCTTTTTATACCTCTATAGAAATCTGCTCCAGATGATCAATTTGTAACTGAGAGGAAAAGTAGACTTTGATACTAGTTCTAATACCTTCAGATGGAGAAGCCACCTCGCTGCCCTATGGGCAAATTTTTCAAAAATATATCTAAGCAATTTAGGAGCCTCAGTCCAATAGACTTTCAATAGGACTTAGGTACTTTCAAAAATTTTTACCCTGCTTCCTGAGTAATACGGAGGTGAGTGGAAGCATATCTGCAACCATACTAAAAAATGTGTAAGGGCGGGTTTGAAGTACTAAGATTTTGTTTGATGTAGGAAAAAAATAAAATATGGACAAAAGGATAAGGATCCTGCCTGGAAAATACTGGCATAGAAGATGCAATAACCTGCATTTTCAAAGATTCCAGGGCATTTCAAAACAAGAACGAACATATGCTTGAAAAAGTAAACTGGTTTTATCTGGAATGCAGACCAAGCCAGCAGCAGGTTACATTTGATTAAAAACTACTCACACAAATGGCACACTAGGCCACAAAAGAATATCCTCAGTTCCGATCCCTCAGTTGCCATCTCTGACACAGACCACACAAACAGATATAAAACAAGGAAAAATACACATTAAAAAGTGCAGTTACCACTGCAACAACTTCTAAAACATATTTTACTGGACAAAAAATGTCCCCGTTTCCTTACACATAGGAGCAGTGGGTTCCCATGCCCCCTCCTACCTGAACTGCAAAGCCCCCATCACTTCTTTGGCCTACACAGTTCTGTACACAGGGCCGGCTCTGGCTTTTTGGCTGCCCCAAGCAAAAAAAAAAAAACCACTGCGGCGCAGCCGGAGTGTGGGTGCAGGGGGACTGGCTAGCGGGGGGGGGGAAGGGAGAGAGAAGGGGGTGGCCAG